GACCACCCCAACCCCCCCCCTCCCCCCCCCCCCCCCCTGCCAAAGCATCCTTCTTTCTTCCCTCCCTCCCCAGATCCCCCTGGCCTGGTTCGTTGGACGGTTCCTGCGGGGCAACTACGGCAATGCCGCTGTGTGGATCTCCCTGATCATCGGGCAGCCGGTGGCCGTCCTGATGTACGTGCATGACTACTACGTGCTGAACTACGAAGGGAGGCAGTGACGCGCCCCCCCCCCTTGTGGTGCTACTGCGGCCTCTTCCGTCCTGCCCGCTTCCTCCTGGTGCCCAGCAGGCTGGTGGGCAAGGGCAAGAGCGGCCCTGTCTTCCTGCTCTTCCAGGGGAGCCTCACCACTCACCAGCGCGGGCAGAGGTGTTGGCGGTAGCCATCTTTGTTCTGGGAAGTTGCCTTGTGTGTGGACTTTTGTGTCTATGTGTGTCTGTGGGAGGGGGTGGCTTCTTGCCAGCTCCTCTGAGCGTGAATGCTGGATCAATGCAATAGCCTTCGGAGGCATGGGCTCTTGGTGGGGCACCTGCCAGCTCGCCCCCTGGGGCTTGGGCGCCAGTCACGGGGGGCGGGGGGCAGAGAGCTCCCACTTGCTGAATCTGTCCAGCAAAGGGGGGCTCTGGATCTTGCTCCTTCCAGGGGCGGGTGAGGCAAGGGGGGGCTGGTCTTTCCTTTCTGTGAGGGAATGTGAACTTCAGCTGGGGGCCCCGGCGCCCCTGAGTGGCCCCGGCCTCTGCAGCCCAAGGGATATTCTGCTCCTCCCCCCCTGCCACCTGGGGCTGTCCCTGAAGCACTTTAAAGGGCCCCCCTGGGCTCTCACTGGGCATCCTCTGAAAGTGGTTTTCTCGCAGCTCTTCTGGTGTTGGAAAGGATGCTCCTCTTTGGTTGGCCTTGGCCCCCCAGGCCTCGTGGGAACGGGTACTGTCAGCCCACCCGGATCCCGTGGCCAGTTCCGGTACTGCCTCAAGGGCCTTGCTCCTTGGGTGGCCTCTAGCTAGGCCGCGTCCGAATTCCGTCCTGGGTCTGGAGAGCTGCCTTAGTTCTCTGCACTACCTACAATCCGCCCCGGTCTCCAGAGAGTCGAGCGCAGCCGTCCCTGGACGACATCCCCCCCCCCCCGGTAGCTGCCACTGTTTTGCGGTGGTCCTCTTTGTGGCAGCGGTCTGTGGTTGTGTGTGTCCTTTCCATGTTTGGTCACCTTAGCGACTTTTGTAGACTCTGCAGTCTGTATCTGCCCGGTACCAAGTGATTAAAGCATATTTTTGGAAGCGGTCTGTGTGCCTCTGGCCTCTGATTTGGGGTGCCGGCCTGCCTGCCTGCCCGGCTCACAGCTGCTGCCCCCCCAAAGGAACCCCCCTGCAAGTACATCCGTTTGGAGCCAAGGAACAGTCACGTACTTTTTGTGGCCACGGAGACCTTCCCTACCCCCTGGCACCGCTTGCTTTATTACTTGCTTTTAAAAAAATGCTGCAGCTTCAGTTCTGGTTGGCACCCAGAGAGCTTGAGGCAGGGGCGCTGCATCTAAAAGGCAGAAAATAATACAAGTTGAAAACAGAAAATAAGAGCAATTTGGACAGTGGCCATCTTGTGCTAGCCCCGTATATGAATATGGAGTTAACTGTGTAACAGTAACAGAAGAAGAAGAGTTTGGATTTATACCCTGCCCTTCACTACCCAAAGGTGTCTCAGAGCGGCTTACAAACTCCTTTCCCTTCCCCTCCCCACAACAGACACACTGGGAGGAAGGTGGGACTGAGAGAGCTCTTGACAGAAATGGCTCTTTTTCAAGAACAGCTCTTATCAGAACAATGGCTGGCCCAAGGTCATCCAGCAGGTGCAAGTGGAGGAGTGGGGAATCAAACCCCCTTCTCCCCGATTAGAATCTGTGCCCATAACCACTGCACTAAACTGGCTCTCCATCCTATGCATTCCAGTCCACTGAAATCAGTAACTCTGCCTAGGATTGCACTGTGAAAACACGGGCTCTTCCTTGAGGTATTAACACAGCATATAAACTGTGAAGACCAGAGTCACTGGACAAGACAATCATGCAGGGAAAAGTTCAAGGCAGCAGGAAAAGGGGAGGTGGATTGACCCAGTTAAGGAAGCCACGAAGGTCCTCAGTCGGCAAGACCGGAGAATGGCTGTTTTAACGATATGATGTTTCGGTGGATGGTAATTCATAGAGTTGCCATAAGTCAGAAATTATTTGCTGGCACGTAAGTCACCCATTAATTAGTTGTTGTAGATTTTCCGGGCCATATGGCCATGGTCGTGGCATTGTAGGACCTGATGTTTCGCCACAGCTGTGACTGGCATCCTCAGAGGTATAACACAGAAAGAGGGAGTACTCTCTGTGTCAAGGTGAGAAGGGTCCTACAAGGCCAAGACCACATCCATACAGCCCGGAAAATCTGCAACAGCCAATGAACTCTGGCCATGAAAGCCTTCGACAACATATCGCATACAAAATGTAGACAAAATTGGTTGTATTTAAACAATGAACATGTCCTGGAAAATATGTTGTGGAGACGGATGCCCAAGAGTGCAGCACCCGTTTCTCAGCAATCACACTGCTGGGCCTCCCCGGAGGGGAAGAGCCAGGGGGG